CCCCACCCTGCCTCCCCACGGGCCCTGCTCTGTGTGTGACAGGGTAGAGCCATAACCTTCCCATTGGCCCAGCCCTGAGTGTGAGAGTGGTGGCGCCCCAACCCCCTGATCCGCCCTGCTCTGTGACAGGGGGCGGCGCCCCAACCCCCGGATTGGCCCTGCTCTGTGCATGACAGGGGTTGGCGCAGCAACCTCCCCATCTACCTTGCCTTGAGTGTGACAGGGGGTGGTGCCCCAACTCCCTTATCGGCCCTGCTCTGTGAGTGACAGGGGGGAGCTCCTCAACCCCCTGATCGGCCCTGCTATGTGCATGACAGGGGGCAGCGCCCCAACCCCCTGATGGGCCCTGCTCTGTGCATGACAAGGGGTGGCGTCGCAACCTCCCCATCGCCCCTGCCTTGAGTGTGACGGGGCAGTGCCCCAACCCCCCAATCGGCCCTACCCTGAGCGTGACTGAGGGTGGCATCGCAACCTCCCGTTCTGCCCTGCTCTGTGCATGACAGGGGGCGGTGCCCCAACTCCCCAATCGGCCCTGCTCTGAGCCCGACCAAGGGCTGCACCTAGGGATTGGGCCTGTCCTCTGCCACCCGGGAGCAGGCGTAAGCCAGCCGGTCGTTATCTCCCGAGGGGTCCCAGACTATGAGAGGGCACAGGCTGGGCTGAGGGACCCCTCCTCCCCCCGAGTGCAAATTTTTGTGCACTGGGCTTCTAGTATTAAAAATAAAGAATGGGTTATCATTTATTAATATAGCCTGTCATGTGCCCAGTGCCCATGTCCCTGCACACACACAGCCTGGGCCCTGGGTTGGGTCTCCTCCAGCTTCAGGAAGGTCAAGAGGGATTTTTGTCCAGTGACAACCTGGGGACAGCATAGGCCCGGGGATGCTCAAGGGGGACCTAGCATGACAACCACAACAACACTGTCCCTCCCTGGCCTCTGTCCTTCCCTGCTGTCACCCTCCTAATTCCTCATCCTCTCATCTCTCTTCCACCTGACAGTCCCCACATCACCTACTGCACAGATTTATGCGCCTTGTTCTTATTTTGCCACGGAGGCCCTCATGGAAACCAAACCCTCCAATGGCCGTTCCGCCCGTAAGTCTTCTCTGCAAGCTGGTGCCAGGAGTGGGGTGGGGGAGATGTTCCTGTTCAGGCCCCTGGGATGGCCTGCTTGTGGAGCCTTCTGGTTGGTTCCCCGGACACTACACAGGTGAGCATGATGATATTTGGGCTCTTCAGTTATTTTAAAGAATGAGTTATCATTTATTGATATGGCCTATCGTGTGCCAAGTGCTTTACAAATGGTCACCCTTTGAAACATGTATTATATTTTGATGGGGGGTGGCTATTCATTTCACAGGGGGAGAAAACAGGCTCAGAGAGAGAAAGGGACCTGTTCAAAGTCACACAGCAGTGCCAGGGCTGGAATGCAGTTGTCCTGCCTTCTTTTTGTCATACCTTCCATCTCCAAGGTAAGGACTTGCCAGAGACGGCTGTGGTCGATTTGTGGCCTCTCCTGTGGTCTCAGGTAACACCTCAGAGGCCCTGCCCATCCTGCTGGCTGCCACATTCTCAAAGCCCAGTCTCTGACCTGGTGCTTGATAATGCAGGGGGACCCCTGCCTAGGGCCCCGAGAGGGTGGAGCTTGAACATCATATAGGGGCTAGTGCCCCACATGAGGCTGTGGTGAAGAGATAGAGGACACCACTCCAAGGACGCATTGGGGGGGGTCTGTGAACCCGAAGACTCTTGGAGGTCAGTAAGAAGTGCAAAGATAAGCAGGTCATTTGGAATTTTTATTTTTCACTGAGCTGAGTGAGGAGATCCAACTATGGAATCCAGAGAGAGAGAGAGAGAGAGAGAGAGAGAGAGAGAGAGAGAGTTCTACAGGAAGAAAACAGAAATAGGCCAGGCCCTGGGCTCAGCTCAGAGAAGGCCTGAAACCACCTGGGCTACTGTTCTCTGCCAGCTTCATCCTTGGCACTTGGTCCCTCCCATGGCATCACTCAGTTGCCAGAAGCCAGAGCCCACAGTGACAACTGCTTGATGCTATAACTGCAGCTGCTGCTCTGTCCAAGGAGAGGTGTGGGTTGACTACGAGGAGCCAGGGAGGCCAAGCTAGGAAGAACCTTAAAAATCACCGAGTTCAAGAGAGAAAATACATTTCTGTTGTTCAAGCCACCCAGTCTGTTGTACTTTATGGCAAACTGATAGTCTAATATGACACACTTAATGGTCACCTATATTCGTTAACTCTCCCAAGGACAGGAAGTGGTTAGAATAACAGTGGGAGAGAAAAGCTATTAGACGAGGCGGGCTTATTATCTTTTGTTTATAGAACATCTTCACTCTGTAATGGTGTCCGGGGATATTAAAGTGTCTGATGAAAAAAAGACTTTATAACAAAACAAAAAGAATCACTGAGTTTATCCTCATTTTATAGATGATGAAATGAGGCCCAGAAAGAGCAATGGATTTCAAAAAAAATGAATGTTGAGACTCAAACTCAACTCTTGTCTGCTGCGTTTGTCTGCCGAAAGCCCCCTCTAAGCATATCTGAGTGCTGCTGCCCGAGGCACCAAGGGGTTGGCTTGTGTCTGTGTGTCTGTGTGTGGCAGGATGCAGCTGTGGTGTCTGCCTCTGCACAGGCCAAGGTTTCTGTGTCCCTCTGTGTGTCTCTAAGGGTACACCTATGTGCAGGAATTTGGGGTCAGTCGGGCCTATTCCTACAATCTTGGGAGGCTTCCCAGGCTGAGTAGGGAGGCTGAGTCCTGAAGGGTAGGGGGAGAATGGGGACTTTGCTCCCAGAGGAGAGGTAGAGAAGGCAGGCTGGAGCAGACAAGGGTCCTGGGACTAGCCTGGTGCAGGGGAAATGAAGACAAGGTGGGGTATGGGTCCATGGAAGTTGAGGCATGCTCTTAGCACTCATGTGGGCCCAGCCCTCTTATCACCCCAGTGAGCAACCCCAGGGGAAGTAGTCACATGATGTGGCACTTCTCAGCTGATTGCTTGAGGTTCCCCAGTGTGGCTTGGGCTTTGTCCTTGAGGGAACCAAGGTCTAAGCCAGGAAGGTTGGCCAGCTGCCCGAGGACTGAGGCCCTCTCTTCCTCCTCCTCTGTGTCCTCCTCAATCATCTTGGCCAGCTCCCAGTGCAGCTCCACATCTCCACCTGCCATCTGGATCTGGCTCTCATCTGTCTCATTCTGAAGAAAGGAAGGGTTAGGCTGGAGTTGGAGATCTGTGGGACCCCAAGCTGAGGGTGTAGGCGGAGCCTGGACTGGGTTCCAGGCTTCTAGGTTCTTGAGCCCCATGTTCCAGTGAGCTCAGTCCCCAACCCCACATCCCAGGATCAAGCTTTTGACATTTGTACTTTATACCACTCTACTTCACTCTGAGATACTGAAGGGGATACAAAATAGGAATACTTAGGAGTCAAACTGTTATAGTTAATCATATATTGACTATTGTTAACTACACTGAAGGACACTACCAATACTAGTGGTGGGTACCATTCATCAAACACTTTTTATATGGCTGATATTGAGCCGTGTGCTTTTAATTCTCACAATGACCCTGCAAGGTAAGTATTGTTTTCTTTCTCTATTTTACAAATAAGGAAGTTGAGGCTCAGATAATTTAAGTAAGTACCTTGCCCATGGCCATACGACTTGGAGGTGGGACAGCTACATGTAAATGCACGACACTGTTACCAGCATCTGTGCTCTCTTGGCAAGGCATCTACTGTTGTCATTGCACTTCCTCATCCCTTTGGGTTCCCTGGGGCTTTCCACTTTATGTCCTACGCAGTTACAGCCAAGTCTTCCCTCTTCACTGGACTCAGAGTTCCCTAATGGAAGTTGTGTCTCTTACATGCTTAATGCAAGCATTTGAGGAATGACTTCATTCCTAGCTATGTTTAACTCAGTTACTTCCCAGAAAGGCAAACTTTCTGGACCTGTTTTCCCTTTGAGATACTTCTAAAAGACTGGTGCCCTGTGGGGAGTCAGAGGCAGCCAGAGGCTCAGGAAATATTTGTTGAATGAGTGGGTATGATATTCACATATCTGATCTTCTAATTCAGGTGGAAGATCAAGGTCGGTATACTGTAGTGCTGTTTCTGTTAGATAGACTCCTTAGAGTCTATCATAGTTTTGGGCAGTTGGGGTAGCTTGTGCCTTAGTTCTCTCCTTAGGCAACAGGAGTAGAACACTTACAGCCCATCTGGTGCTGCAGTGCATAGTGGAGTCATCCTCCTGGCTGCTTGGCCAACCAAGGAGTTACTCTGCTCTCTGCAGACAGACCCATACTCTGGAAAGCAGTCAGGGGCCTGGAGAAGGCTCAGCATTCACAAGCTTGAGCACCATCACTCACTGGTTGTATGATCTTAGCCAAGTCCTTTAATATATCTGAGTCTCAGTTTCCTTATTTGTAGATGTGGGTGATTGCTACCTAATGGAATTACTAAGGGGTTAGGTAAGGGTGTGGAGGTTAAGTGCCTGGCACACAGATGGTGCTACCTTCTCTTTCCCATCCCACCTTGCCTGGTGTTCAGAAGCCTCAAGAGCCTCACCCCATGGTAAAATCTATTGCCTTCCAACTCTTCATCTGCCTGGGCCTGACTTGTATTGGGGGGAGTGTAGGTTGGAGGACAGAAGGGGACTGGACTGGCTCCAGAAACACAAACCTATCAGTCTCTAGAGGACTGGACTATCCTTCCTTGCCAAATCCTAGGCTTAGGCAGGCTCCAGTTAAGGAGTGAAGGAGTGAAAGAACAAATAGTCTCACCAAGCTCTCCATGAGTCATGGCTCCCAGAGTGGGGCAAAGGAGTCCAGGCCCAGGGCTCAGGAGCCTGGTTGTGCCTCGAAGCCCTATCTCTTAAGCTTACCTTGGGCAGCCGGTATTTGTCTCGGAAGTGGCTCCGTAGCATGGCCCGCTCTGCCTTCCTCTGTGTGAACTGTATGTCACGTTCCATCCTGCAGGGGCACAGGGCCAAAGTCATTGCCAGCACTAAAGAAATGGGCACCTGTGGGCCTGTGTGTCAGGAGGGCGCTTGGACCTGGCAACTGCCTGTTGCTCTTTACGACCTAGTCTCCCATCACAGGGCCCTTTCTAGTCTCCACACATGCCTCTGGACAGAGCTATGGGAGGGAGGCCATTCTGGCTCCCTAATACATGTCCCTCTAAGCCTCGGACTCCTTGGGTCTTTTCCCTTCCTGGCAGGTTATTTGGAGGGTGAGGGGTGTGGGGAGAGTGTGTGTGTCGGGGGGAGTATTCGAAACAGACTTGGTTTCGTATCTGGCTCCATTACCACCTTTGTTATGGACATGTCTTTGGGTAAGTCACTTACCTTCCCCTTTTGTAGAATGGGGATAAGTTTTTGCAATTCACAAAACTGCTATCAGCTGAAATAGTTATAGCTAACATTTAATGATTTACCGTCTTCTAGGTGCTGTGCTAAGCAGTTTACATTAAGTAATTTAATCCTCCTAAATATAAGGCATGTATTATAATTATCATCCTCACTTTACAAAAGAGAAAACCAAGGGACAGAAAGGTTAAGTAAATTACCTAAAATCACTCAGCTATAAAGAAGCAACGCCAGGATCTAACACAAGCAGCCCTGGAGTCTAGCCCTAGCCCCACTCCAGCTGTTTCTCTGTTCTAGCATTGTCTGAACATCCGTGGATTCAATATCTACGAGTGCCCCCATTTCAGTATCTGTGTCCCTGACTCTGAGCCCCCTCAGCTGCATCGCTTTTTTCAGAGCCTCAGGCTCAGAAGAGCTCCATTTGGAAGACCCAGACATTGGGACCAGATCGGATTAAAGGATTACTTGTTTCATCAGAAATGCACGTGCCCCACCCAGTCCCAGACCCCTATTGCCCCTGCCCCCACTTTCTCTGGACCTAATGTGAAGCTGGGGCGGGGCCCTGGGTTTGAAATGTTGTGGCTCAGGGTGGCAGAGGGCAACCTAGAGGTGCACATCCCAGCCTCTTACCAGTCTAGAGAAGTAGGGGAAGGGATTGAGATCTGAAACTACCCTAGAGGTGGGCCGGGCAGCTGGAGGATGGAGTGTGGGAGAGGGTCGTTGGAGGTGGGAAGGGATCTCACTCACTTCTCTTCCACCAGTTGCTTCTGATACTCCTCATACTCCTCTTGGCTCATGCCCTGCGCTTCGGCGGCGGACTTGTCCCCATCCTCCTTGTCTTCGCCACCCCTCAGGCTCCCAGTGAGGTTCTTCAGCTGGCTGCCCACCATGGTCTTCAGCATGAAGGTCATGGTCTTCGCTTGCCCGGGCACTGGGCACCACTCCCCGGGCACCAGGCACGTCTGCGCCTACTTCAGCACTAGGTCTCACGGACAGCTCCCGCTGCGGGCCAGCACCCCACTCTCTGAGCCGCCTGCTGCTCTCTCTCCACCCCCGGCCCCGCCCCC